GAAATTATCTGAAAATCAGTTAATACAATTCTCAGATCAGAAGTGATTTATTGTATTCTTCAACATTGTTAAGAGTATGGTACAATGAGTTATATCTGAATTTTTAATTTTAGTTAATACTGTAAATATTTTAACATTGTATTATTGAGAATATTTTATTTCATGTATATATATATAATATACTTTTTCACTCGTTTGGTCTTTTGGAAAATGTTGTTTGTGCTGTATTTAGACCCCTCTACCAAGAAATTTATTTTGCATGAACACGTATAAAAATTGCGGTTTTTATCCAACGCAATCATATGTTTGAATGTTGTTTTCAATTTAGACTTGTTTATATTTTTTCGTTTGGGCTTGTATTATATTTGCCTTCGGGTTTATATGATCCGTTCATCCTATTTTGACTCCTCAAAATTCAAGAGTCTATTCTAAATTGAGGTAAATTGTATGGCTTTCCAAATACCGTTTCGATTCCTAACATCACTGAAGAGACATTAATTGTCGAAATCCGGATATGGTGTAAGTTTATTGTTTTCTGTTTAGTATTAAATTTATAATTAAGATCCATTTATTACATAGGTGATCCGTTTATTTGACAATCGCCAATGGCAGTCAGCAGAGTTTAAGAACATTTGTTGTTCGACCTGTTAGTCAAATGTGTTTTGTTAAAATAAACTTTTTCACTCGTTTGGTCTTTTGGAAAATGTTGTTTGTGCTGTATTTAGCTCTACCAAGAAATTTGTTTTGCATGAACACGTATAAAAATTGCGGTTTTTATCCAACGCAATCATATGTTTGAATGTTGTTTTCAATTTAGACTTGTTTATATTTTTTCGTTTGGGCTTGTGTTATATTTGCCTTCGGGTTTATATGATCCGTTCATCCTATTTTGACTCCTCAAAATTCAAGAGTCTATCCTAAATTGAGGTAAATTGTATGGCTTTCCAAATACCGTTTCGATTCCTAACATCACTGAAGAGACATTAATTGTCGAAATCCGGATATGGTGTAAGTTTATTGTTTTCTGTTTAGTATTAAATTTATAATTAAGATCCATTTATTACATAGGTGATCCGTTTATTTGGCAATCGCCAATGGCAGTCAGCAGGGTTTAAGAACATTTGTTGTTCGACCTGTTAGTCAAATGTGTTTTGTTAAAATATACTTTTTCACTTTTTTGGTCTTTTGGAAAATGTTGTTTGTGCTGTATTTAGACCCCTCTAACAAGAAATTTGTTTTGCATGCACACGTATAAATATTGCGTTTTTAATCCAACGCAATCATAGGTTTGAACGTTGTTTTCAATTTAGACTTGTATATATATATATAGAATATCATATGGCTTTTTCAATATCACATCTGTATAAACCCGAGACACCAATATAATCCCAAGAGCTCTGCTCGAGGGATTATATTGGTTGAGGGTTGATACGGTGTGTGATATTGAAAAAGCCATATCATATACACTTTATTATATACATATACCTCACGTAGATGTTTTTTTAAGTGACATGACGTCATACAGATAAGGAGGTTTGAAATGACGTCATACAGATTATAGGTTTGACATGACGTCATACAGATTAGGGGTTTGATAAAGCCTTTGCGACTGCAATCGACGACATGACGTCATACAGATTAAAGGTGTGATAAAGCCTTTGCAACCGTGCTGATATCGATATCATCACGGGAGGCTGATACAGCACGCTTGTCAATGACTGTATTACACATACAATTTATCTGTATTTACTACTAGATCTCTAAGTATATAATAAATATATATATACAAGTCTAAATTTAAAACAACGTTCATACAAGTCTTAATAGAAAACAACGTTCAAACCTGCGTTGGATAAAAAACGCAATTTTTATACGTGTGCATGCAAAACAAATTTCTTGGTAGAGGGGTCTAAATACAGCACAAACAACATTTTCCAAGAGACCAAAAAAGTGAAAAAAGTATATTTTAACAAAACGCATTTGACTAGCAGTATATATATAAAAACGCCTAAAAAGTGTACAAAACAGCACCAATAACAAAAAAAAAAAAAGGACACATTAAATGTAAGTATCTATAAATATTTCGGATAACAGATATCCTTCATGAGTATGATTATGATGTAAAATGAATAATATCAATCTATTCTGATTAAACTATAACAATCTTGAAATTTATACAATAAAACAGTTAAAACCGAACACCATAGAGACGCTTGTACAATTGTAAAATTTCAAAAATTACTACGGTTATATAGCTATTTACAACAGAGACTGCAAAGATATGCTTCAAAAAAAAATTAAGTAATGTGTGATATGAATTGGTACAATTCTAAAATTTCACAGGTGACGACAGTTCAGATGTTACAACAACGATAGCGTGGAAATACATTTCCAATAAACAGCTCTGAATGATCTACGCTGGTATAATATCTATATATATATATAATTACTCTAAATATCAGCACAACAATGTTAAATCTGCAAATTTGCGGAAGCAAATTCTTATTTAGCTCATCTGACATGACACCATGTGAAAAATTCTAAAGCGAGAATTGGGTCTCATTTATGATAGTTTACAGCACTAAACAAAAACGAATAACAGGCTCCAGACGTGGGACAGGCGTATACAAATGTAATGGGTTTAAATATGTTTGTGAGCGCCTAACCAGTAGTGGGTTTAAATATGTTTGTGAGCGCCTAACCACCCCACCTTCAATCTAATATGTCATACATTTAACAAAAACATACATTTTTGAAAGAACTCATTTCGTTAAATTTTCGAATGGAAAATCTTTGAAATCATTTTTCCTTCACACTTCCATATATATATATATTTTTTTTCAAAAACGAGTACTTGTTTTATATAAAAAGACCCCGGACAAAGTTACTACAAGTAGTACGTAATAACTAAAAACGGAAATCGATAAGCTTGGTTTAGACAATTTTGAAAATAATTGATGCTTTTTACAGCCTTTTCTTTAATGATGAATTTGATGTCTAGCAAAATAGCAGGTCAAGTGAGTACCATTTCAATGCATTAAAAAAGTAAGAACAGTATTAAGAATATCCAAGGGCAATAAATGGTATTTCAGAATGCATTTCCTGTTTTTAGCTTTATCGAAAACTGGTTCTTTGAAATTTAAGTGATGCCTTAGACATGTTAGACTCGTAGCTAATAAATACTTTGATTGATATACATGTCATCAGGTATGTGTTAATAAAAAAATGTCTCTTTTCAAAAGCATTTTTCCCGGTCAACGGATCAATCGCCCATGTGTATAGCCATACGCTAGACAAGATCATCGGATTAGAGATTTTAGGTAAACCGAATGATGGGTGTGAGATACGGATAACTGTCTGAGGATCAGACAGTAATTTTTTTATTTCTTAGCCGTAAGCTTGCAAACTCAGACTTTTTTTTATGTAAAAACAGGAACCAGATGGGGTTATAGCTAATAAATATAATTCATCCCAGGATCCAGTAATATATTTGAAGGTAAAATACTTCTGATCTCAATAAAACAAAGCGATTACATTTACATCTCTATCAGAAACAAACAAAAAAAATCATGTTGGCATAGTACCAATAACAGTCACATGTCTTCATTTGAAGTGATGTAATAAAACAGCAATGCAAATCCTTTAATCTGTATTGTTTATGAAATGTGACGGTAAATGTATTATGATTGAGTGAAAAACTAATACAAGAACATGTGAATATACATATACAACTTCCACAACTGCAATGAATGTGCATCTGATTGAAACAACACATTTCTTTTCCTTCTGGTTCGGAAAAATTTTCCTATATGAAAAGGCCAAATATTATTCAAACAATTAATATTAATTCAGGTTTTTCAGCAATTTGATCTAATGTTATGGTAAAATATGATAAACCTTGAATATCCAATCACAAGAAGGCATCCGGTTATCCAATTACATTTAATTATATTCCCCCTTTATCTTCTACTACTAGGTATTTTCTTTCATTGTTGGTTATCGATATTACAGGGTAATCATTGCATTTAACATTTAGTAATATTATAACTAGCAGTAGCTCATATTGCACCACCCTGTGATTGGAGTATGGTAAAATGGAGATAATAGGGACAATATTCCTCAAAATTAGTACAATAACACGTTTTAGAATTTAGTACCAAATATTTCAGAAACATTTCTGATACTTATTCCTGTAGCTCTTACATGCACAGCCTGTAGAAAAGCCGCAATATCCATTTCCGCCATCTTGTTTATTTCTCGTCTTACTTTTTAGGTATAATCATGAGGGAAGAACAGTAAACAAATTGGCAAATATTTGGGGTTTTTTTAATAAAGAAATTTACATAGAACATTGAGCGCTGATAATTGAAATATCTCGCGCTGTGATATCACAACATTAGTGTTCAGAAAAATGAAGACTGAAAAACACATACGATTGATACGGAAAGAGGACCTACAGGTAAGTACAGAAAATTGACTACCAGTGGGTGGGAAATTTATAATCCTACTCTGTATAAAACTACAATTAACTATGACATGTTTAAATAAAATAGATAAAAATAATATTATTTTCCGCGCGGACACACATTATAAATTACTTATTAGGAAAGTGGAATGTTATCTTCGGTCCAAAACAATGGAAAACAACTTTCATCAGGGGTTCATAGCAGCTTACTAGCTATAAGAAAATTTTTCAAACCCTAGCATACTCTCTCTAGTATGGAGGAAATAATTGTTTTCCCGTTTATCCGATCGATACATACCAGAATCAACAAGACTTAACTTTATCTAAAAAGTTAGGACGATGTGGTATGATAGCAAATGAGAAAACTATTTACCGGAGACTAATCTTATATATGTATGTAAGTCTCTCTCTTACAGGGCCTACTACGCTCTCGGTCGTTCAACTTAAATGATGAATAGTTCAAAATTTACCTAAAACACAATATAAAGTCTTGTATACCTTTAAAATCGTCTATGTAGTTTCTATATACTCTTACCTTTGTGTGATTGAACCAAACATCAGTGGACCATCACTCCACGAAACAAACAATAATATTTCCAAATTTTCAGGTAATCTTTTGTGTTGAGTATCGAAATTTACGAATCTTTTAAATGTTTTATCAGATGTGAAACTTAAGTGCACGATTTCGATGCTGATCGTCACTCTAAGGAGAGTTGGTATAATGAACTACCTTGAAACTTATAAGTTATGCAGATGATTCTGAAATATCATAACATCTGAAGTAATCAAACAGAAAACTTATTAACAATTCCATTTCTATTTCATTTGAACCGTTAAGATTACGATGAACAAAAAGAAATGTCGAAATGTTATTAATAACCGCTCATTTCTTTAATAATTTTATAGAAGAATAATTACACACACGTGAACTCAATACGCAGCAAGGCGGAAAATGTATTTATACTTTACCGGAGAAAGGCTGTAGCGCATGCTATTGATAGTAATAAGAAAACAATGAAAGGGTTTTTTCTTGCACAAGATACAATTCAGTTCAATACAATTTAATATTTCATTTAAGTCTCATCTCTCAAAAATATATATAATACAGCAGTACATTAAATGTATAATATAGATATAGAATATATCTAGCCATTCTGTACAGAATTATAAGAAACTAGCATAACATAAAAACATTATTATAGAAAATTCGTCTATTATAAAACACATTTATAGGAAAACTATTTACAGTATCACATTTGTATGCGTCTATTACGTCTATTTAAAATTAGATAACAGGCTTTGGCACAGCTTTGAATTATATATTAATTGACTGATTGATTAGTGTTTGCTTTACGCCACCTCAGGAACACAGGCGCTTGGGTATATGATACAGAATTTTAATTCTTAGTGTGGATAGTAAAATGGGGGTTTGTCTCAAAGTTGGTAAAATCACTCGAAACTATGTGAGACATGCGCAGTAGTGATAGATATGTAGTATAAATATAGAAAATTGAATATTTTAATCAACAAAAATTTTAAAAAATTTTAAATTCTGTATCACATACCCAAGCGCCTGTGCTCAGGAATTGTATTAACATCTGTGTGAATAAAAACACTAATTTCTGTTTATCATCAAAAGACATAAAATCACTGTTACGTCAGATGTTTTGCCTTATCAATTTTTTCCTAAAAATTTGAGATCTCACTATATTCTAAAATGATCAACACAGCAAGTGTCATTATAATAAATGTCGTCCTGACTTTTCTGCTGTGTCTGATGGCTTAAAACAGAGAGAAAGTTCTAGTAAATAAAGATGTTTATTGGTTGAAATCAGTAATCGAAGTCTTTACAAATATTACACAATAAAATAGCAGTCTCATTTGATACTAAATTAATAATTTCAAAAATGAACTAAATCAAGGGATTTAACTCTATGCAAAATATAACTTTCCAAATAATAATTACCCAAATCTCTAGATGTTATCAAGTAAAACAGCTATACAAAACTTGACGTACAATTTATTTGGAAATACAAATGTAAAATAAACCGAATCATTTCAACTAAATGAACCTTTTCATTTCAAATGTTTTATTCAATAACTTGTTGCTATGGTAATAATAAAAACTTTTATTTATAGTAAAATTATGAATTGACAAAGACAAAAAATTTAATATAACATATGTAATGTTGGTTAATCTTATGTCAGCGACAAAGGAATGCTGAAACGTATTCGTAGATGATAACTTTGAACCGATTTCTTCCTTGAATGCATACTTTGTTTGATCTGCCGACAAATTACAGGTAAAAATATGTAGGTGTTTTATTCAAATTAAGTGTAGTCAAAACAGAACAGTAATTTAAATGCATTGCGGTTAACCTTAGTCTTCTTATTTGAAGTCAAGGACAGATTTTCATCATCTTAAAGAATGAGGTAGATCGTTACTGTAGATTTAGATGTTTAAATTTAAAAATCCCCACCTAAATTGGTAGGTGGCAAAATATTCCCACAGAGGATCGCATTTGTCAGCACTGCGATTCCAATACAGTCAATGACATAATTTTTATTTTTATGCACTAACAAACACACGAGGGAAAAGTATATGCATGTATCTATCAAACTTAAAGTTTGAATTAATAGGGCGGTTGAAATCTGTGGAAAAAACTGTTTCAAAGACAAATTTAGGAAGTACAAAAAACTACATTTATACGTTATATCACAAATATTTCCGACTTTGTATGGTTTCAGGGGAGTTGCGGCTCAATGAAATCGGTCTCTTCCTTTAGTAGTATAGATATCTTCAGTCTTTTTCTATTTCCGCTAGCAGTATATTGAGTTTGTTGACAGATGGAAAGTTTATTTTGCCGCTGAATTAGCCCAAGTAGACGGATGGTGTAAGAATGTGCATCATTCAACTTGGAATGCCGGTTTTCTAAAAAGTTAATATCTATACCACTGTCCTTGGTTCGTCTGTCCTATAGTGAATTGTCAAATGTTGGGTACCTTCCAACAAATACTGGCATGGTTACATAGTCTGTCAATTTGCCGGTATCAGTGATAAGGGTGGAGTTTGCCATGCCCAGACGGTTTCGGTGATAGAATTTGGCGCACTACTTTAGAGCTTACCACCTATTTATGAACTTTTAGGAAGAATCCTATGTGTATTTTGTTTTGTTGCAATAATGTGGACTTTATTTATCAGATATTTATTGGGTAGATAATTTTTTTAAATGTTTTTTGTCTTATTAAAGCAACCATGATAAAAGTTCTTTTATAGCTTTGAAGTAATCTATATTATATCTTTTTTTTAAGTGTGAAGGAGATTTTTATTTTATTAGATATTTTTAATGAATAAGAGTTCGTAGATATTTTGTGAATTTATTTAAGGCATCCATTACAATTTAATTTTATTTAAGAATAAATTGCTAGTATAAAGCTTTAAAGTGCACATATTGATACCATCAACTACACTTTTATTATGTCTTTAAAACAACCCACGCAGTTTTGTTTTTATTTATGTGTTTTCACAACATGCAACCATACCACATTTCCGTATCATTGTTTCATTTAATGCTTAAAAGTACAAATCGTAATATCATGGTTGACTTCATATATATCTTAAGAAAACAACAAGTGAACACTCAAGTATAAATATTGCTACCTTTATATAATTATTTAATTATATTCCTGATAATTCAATTTACCAAAAGTGCATTAATTCTATTCAAATTAATTTGTTGGCAATCGAGGAATAACTATCTTATAAAATGAAGGCGTAACAGGAAGACCCTATTTGATCCGTATGGTGATGAATACAAGACAATGTAGGGTATACATCTACATGACAGCAACTTAACGACAACAACTAGCAAGAAAATAGCTTTATTTAATTAATTAGGTCTTTCCACTATTTTGTGGAAAGACCTATTGTATTTGTTCTGATTATTGTTTTTTCTTCTTCCGCCAAATTTCAAAACTTGTTTTGTGGTTTCGCAAGATGTCTCTTAGATTTTTTGCATATGATATCGAACAGTTATTGCGCTTTTGAGACTGACCCTGTTTAGTCGAAGACTTTTTATTGTAAGAGTTATCTCCCCAAACACTGTTTTCTTTGTGGTGAGATCTCCTCCGTAACCGTAAAAGAAAGCGACAAATTTATTTTACAAAGTTACTCGTTATACTCAGGATGATTTGTCAAATTTTAACCGAATCAATTCGTAGACTCCATATGACAGTTATTTCCCCTTTTGAATTTGACATAAGTGATATGTCAATGTATCACATGAATGGTAAGTAATACAGACCTAAGATATGTGTATTTGAGGTCCTGGAGTCATAAAAATAAATATGAGGCCAAAGTCAAAGGTCAAGGTCATGTTCTAAAATTTGACTTTTCATTGTTCCGAGATCTCGGCTGACAATCTTAGAGATATATTTAAAAGAACTAGTGCAAAATGTTTGCCTCATTGTGATGAAGATATGATACCTTTGGTCTGAAACAATCCAATGACTTCTTATAGGAGTTATTGTCCCTGAAATGATTCAATTTAAGGTTAATTGATTATTACTCCAACTGGGTACATGATAAAGCCATAGGGTCTTTTGTAAACTGTTGGTTGACATATGACCTTGAAAAAAAATATCAACTGGAAGTGATCTTGAGTAAACCGGAAGTAGCTATTTTGCACTTATTTCATAGAAAAGTACCTAGAAACTATATATTTTTTTAAATATGCATACGTTAACCTATCACTAAACCGGAAGTACCTAATATCTCCCTTATTACAGGCAAAAGTATATAGAAACCATATATTTTTGGAATCAGTGTAAATAAAGCTATCATGGAAGACCGGAAGTGTAATTTTTTAAAACCGAAAGTTGACAACTATCTCCCTTATTTCAGGCAAAAATATAAAGCAACATTTATCTATTGAATCAGTATGAAGAAACCTATGCTTGGTCGCCAATAGTAACTTTGAGGAAACCGAAAGTTGCTTCTCATCAATAATTTAGAAAATTGATGTGGAAAGACCTTCAATTGTTCTCTGAACAATTGGTTTTTAATTGTTATATAACTTGTTCTTCTGTGTGAGGTATTTTTGTTTATTAAGTCCCCAAACGAACCTTAAGAGATTTATTGTTTTGCTGCATTTTTTCTTCTCCTTTAAATCTGATTTACTTCTCCCCTACATGAACTTGTCCAATGCATTTCTTTAAACTTTAAGTTGGATGACCTGATAGCCCTATCTCATTAGGTGTTCCAAAAGGTTACCAATTGCATATTGAAATTTTTAATGTATATCTTTATAGGGAGGGGTCAAAAGGATTATAGAAACGTATTGTAAAATAAGTCAAAACACTTCAGAAAACTTCTATTCAAATTAACAACATCGATTCCATCAGCAACCCATGCCGGGACTGAGAACCAACTGTCGGTGATTGTGTGAAATCCTTATATGTAAAACATATCATCACAATTAACTTCTTCATTTTTTACTCATGTATTCATCATCATTAAAGGTATATGGAATGGCCAAAGTAATATTGATATCAAGAATCTTACATCCGAAAAAGAGCAAGACCGAGAAATCCTAGAAAGCAGAGGGTAAGATTTAAAATCTCTAATGATGTTTTTCCGAATCCGAGATAATAGAAAATCTTACTTGGGGGTTTGCGAAATTTCATAGTCTTACATCCTAGTCGGTTTTGAAATTTTTTCACCCGTTTTTCGTTCAAATTGATTAAAACGTCATTTAAAGGTGCATATATGCTGTCTCAACCAGTAAGTTATGTAAGACAGGAATGTTACATGTTGAACGCATCTATCCCATCGAACTTGAGATAAAGGATACAACAGATACAGTTAAGTCTGCCTCATA